AGGGACCCTAAAAAAAAAAAAAAAAAAAAAAAAATTACTGTACAAGAGTAGCAAAAAGAGTCAAATCATTTAGTTTGTTCTGAAAAGGCAAAAAATAATCCATAAATGAACAAAAGGTAATCAGGCAGTGATAAGTACAAAAACAGAAGGTATGCATCATCCCCAAATGGGGAGATTTTTGTCTGGGCTAGGGATGAGGAGTTTTATTAAGAAATCTGTAGGATTCCCTCACCTCCCATGGCTAAACTCCCCAGAAGTGCAAACGGCCTCCTGTTATCCCATCTGTACTTCTTCCAGTTTAGTATATGTGCTCCCAAAGTGAGCGCCCCATCTCTACTTCTAGAGTCTCAACAAACATTGTACTTACGGCTTGTGTGAGAGCTTGACTTTTCCTTATAGGCATCATTTAATCGTTCATATTCATCTAGGGCCAAAGCCAGTCTTTGTTCCTTCACATGGTACAGCTCCTTCTGTGTCCTGAGTGCATCCTGAGCCACTGAAAGATAGTCCTTGAGCATTTTCTCCTGTTCCCCTCGCCATTGTTTTCTTGGATCTTCTATCTGCGTGGTTTCTGAAAATACATTAGGTGAGTTTTGTTTTGTTTTAGCTTTTAATTGTTTTAGGGATGATTTAAACTTGAGAGACTAGCTAGCTTAAATCCTTGCATCCTCTAAAGAGTTTGTTAACATTTCTAGAGTGACATCTCTACATATTTCTAGAGTGACTTCTCTACATATTTGATACCTTTTGTTTTACTTTACTTAGTCCCCAGCCCTTACCTGCTTCATTTTCAGGCCCTTGTCAACAACGTGTTTTCACTATCAATTCATCATACAGTTGTTACTGATCAGATCATCCTTTTGAGAATTTTCTGGCTCCCTAATGCCTGCAGAATAAAAGCCAAGCTATCTGCTCAGTATTCAAGGCCCTCTACTCCAAACACAGCCTTTCCATCCATGGTTCATGATTCCTTCTTTTACAATAGGACCTTCTATGCTGCCTTCTAGATCACTGCTACTTCAAGTCTAGTCTGCAGACCACCAGCCCATGAACTAAGTTTAACATCCATGCCAATAAGCATGGAAACCAAGAGCAGATATTTTGACATTGTAACAGCAATTTTATTCAGTTATTGTATATCTGCTGAATCTAATAACTTTAGGGCTGTACTTTATGTCTGTTTCTCATTTTTTTACTAATTCATTTTCATTGTATTTCACCAAAATATCAGTCAGTTCATGGTATATTAGAAATTTCAAACAAATAAAAAAACAACAAGAACAACAACTTGTCCTTGCCTTAAGGACAATGCTTGTGTAGTCTAAAGTTTTATACTTCTGTACACTTGAATCACCTGACGACCCCATAAATATTCCCAGAATAAATTGGGGGTGGTGGCAAACACTTGTCATCCCAGCACTACGGGAGGCTGAGGCAGGAGGATAGCAAGCTCAAGCCCAGCCTGGGCAATTTACCAAGACCCTATCTCAATATAAAAAATAAACTAGAGCTAGGGATGTAGTTCAGCTCAAGGGCCCTGGGTTCAATCCCCAGTGTGCATGTGTGCATATTACAGTGGTGCTCATAAATAAATATATATGTATGTATATATATGTATATATATATATATCCCAAAACAATTAGAATCTCTGTAGGTGAAACCAGGTTCTGGTATGTTTAAAGCACCTTAAATCTCTCCAGTGAACAGTAAAGTCTGAGCACCACTTCTCCACACCCAAGCTCACACACTCCATCCTCTCTGAAGTTTCTCCAGTTGCTGTAGCTGTGAGATTGCTCTCTGACTGTAGTTCTCCACAGCAGTTCATGTTAGTTTTATAAACTAACTCATTCTTCACTGTGTGGTAATGCTATAGTACAAGCTGCCAACACGAAGAAAAAAAATGAAAATGGAAAGACACAGATCACGCTATTTTATTTTATAGTAAACAGGTGCATTTCTTTGTGACATGGTGGACCAAGTTGCTGGGGTGCATTGGTGTCTGGCACTAGGGCACGGTGGTGCTCATAAAGGAACAAGCAATGCTTGTGCACGCATAAGAAGGCTGTTGCAGGCTGGTTATGGGACCTCTCCTATGTATACGTGCTGTATCTATGCTATAAAAGACTGGGGTTGTCTCTTGGTAGTGAGAACATCTCATTAAGGAGGCTTCTAGTGGGCTCAGGATCTTTTGTTTCTTTCATTTGTCAGGATTACACTGTTGTTGATTTTAAAACTTTATATATTTCAAACAATGTACTTTCCATATGTTATATTCAGTCATATATTTTTAAATAAATGTAAAATAAAGAAGTAAAAGCTGTAGGATTAATGACTTAAGAATGTCTCCAACACAAGACTATGCCTGAGTATCCCCTCATAACACCAAGTACAAACCAGTAAATAATATGGAACAAATAGAAAGATATCTTTAATACAGAAAATATATGAACCTTTTTTTTCTGGTACTGGGAATTGAACTCAGGACTTCTTGCTTGCCAGACAGGTGTGGCACCACTGAGCAACATCCCCAACCCACATAAACCATGATACAAAAAGTTACACAGAATAGAAATTTAATTTTTCAAAAAGTCTTGATGATGGCCATGATGCAGTAACTGGGTCACTATTAATAACAAGAAAATGGAATAAAATGTATAAAAAAATAGTTTTATGATGTTTAACAGGCAATGCAGAGCTACAATCTCTGAAAGAAGAGAAATGAACTCTCAGATTATCCTACATTTCTGTTGAAAGTAGTTTTTGAACAGTAGTACAAAAGGGAGTAATTAAAACAAAGAAATGAAGTCTTGCTAAAATGTGGGAAGGGGGAAAGACAGACTTCAGGAAGGACATGATAGGTGGAATCTGTAAAGCAGAGTGGAGAAAAAGTACAGAGACTGGAGAAGTTCCACACATCTGCAGAGGAGTTGTATTAAGCCAGTGGGTGACTACTAAAACAACAAGCTGGGGCGGGGGAAGGGGTGCACAAGGACAACTGGAACTCTCCAAGCAGAAGTTCGCCAAGCTTACACAGGGCTATACCAGGTTCAAATTATGGCCAGCCAGAGGGGAAAGGCCACAGTATACACGTGGGGTATTCAGTGGGGACCGCTGTAGTGTTATACCTTAATAATGGTGCTAAACAAGACACACAGTAAGGCTACTCTGAATCTATCAAAAGGCTACTTAACCTTTCAATGCTTTAAAACAGGCTGCTAAAAGACTAACTTTACTGCCTGCTAGTAAAAGTTGCTGATGTGATAAAAAATACAGATAAGACCTACAGTCAGTGGAAAAATCAATCAATAGAAACAGACATGAAAATGTATAGATGATGGAATAAGCATATCTGGATAAAACAGTTACTATAGAACTGAAGATCCCAGAGATAAATCCATACATATATCGTCAATCATACCAAAGGTTCAATCAGGCAATTCACAAAAGAATATATGCCATGTCCAGGAAGCAGGTAGAAACAGCAACATCACTGATTACCAGGAAAATGACAAGTTAAAAACTATGAAGTGATACTGCCACATATTACCTAAAATGGCTAAAATTTTAAAACACCTGAATGTCAAGTGTTGGTGGGGATGTGCAGCAACAATAACTCTCATTCACAGCTGCTGGAATGTAAATTACTATAAACACTTCAGAAAACCATTTAGCCATTACCACACATCCCAGTAATTCAGAAACTTGGTATCATCCATAAGAGTCTAAATGTCTCAATTTCATATATTCATTATAACATGGGTCTTTGGTTATCCTGACATTTAGTAATTATAACAATTTCCAATATTTTATACAGAAATACAAATTGACTCAAAGTATAGCTCTCTCACTTTCCCACCCTGCCTCCTCTGTCCCTTCTTCCCTCCCTGGCTTTTTAGGTCCAGTGAAGCCAGAGGCCATGTTGTATTGTTGCCCTGTTCAGAAGCTCACATGGTAAAGAGTAAAGGAGGCTTCTGGCCAGTGGCCAGCAAGGAAATGAATCTTGCCAATAACCACACAAGTGAGCTTGGAAGGAGATTCTTCTCCAGTCCAGCCCAGCTAGTTGACCCCTTCGAGTCACAGGTCCCAGCTAAGCCTTGCCTAGATTAGTGGCCCACAGAAATCATAATAAATATTATTTTAAGCTACTGAGTTTTGACTTAATTTATGATAAGATATATAATTGATAAATGAATCAAATAAAGTTAATACAAATTGAAATGTATATAAAAACTTCAAATGTTTTTAAGTTATAATAGCTATAGTACTATGTACTCAGTTCTCTCTCAGTATCTTTAGAGATTTTGGCTAATCAATCATATTGCTCCCCGTGTTGGGGAATTGGTATACTTCCCACGAAATATTTATCAACAGCTAAAAGGTACAAAACCCTGACTTAAATGAGTAAAGTGCAATAATAATAACGATGATGATACACCATCAGCATTTTGTGCAATCATAATAAATTATCAACACTTGTTTTGGATAGGTCAGCGGACACACTCTAGAATAAATTAAATACTGTTGTTACAAGAACTCAGCGGGAAAAATTTACATTTCTGAAATAGTGCAACAATTCAAATGAACTACAAGAGGGTTCCCAAAGGTACCTTCCAAGAAGGCTTCATGAAGCATGGTTGTGCTTCATCTCCATCCATTATACACACTGAATAGATTTGAAAAGAATATTTATTAAATGTAAGTACTCAAAGAAAGTATATTATACAAATGTGGTATTTTTTATTAAGACCTATTGGCCTTCGGAGATCACTATATTATAATGCAATGTAATTTGCATGTTGTCTACTGTATTAAAGAAGTAATATATTACATGCTGTTAAAACATGTATCTCAAGGGAATCTACATTCCATCAATTTTATAGATGCAAGACTTTATAGACAGAGAACACAAGAGCTCGTTTGAAGGTATCATTAGATGTTCAAAGGAATGATACTTCTGTCTATATAGCATAGTTCTCTTTCCTGCTGTGCTCAGGAAGAATGAATATGAATAACTTTACTTATCTTTGTTTTTATAAAGTATCTACTAAATTTATTTACTGTCTATTCATTAATTCTGTAATTATTAATCACCTACTACAAGCAACACAGAAGAAAAGGTGTTCAGGCATAATCTCTCTTCCTAAGGAATTTAGAAAATACAGAAAAATTGTATGAATTTAAAGAAAAGAAACAATGATGTTATACTTAAAATAAGTACCTTGAGAAAAGAATGGTTAAGTGCCATGACAATTTAGAGATTAAGGGGGTTCTTCTGGCAGAAAAAGTATGGTATCATGAAACAGGCAGTAATTAAAGAGGGCTTTGAAAGGTTCCAGACAAAATTACCTGGCCCCTGTTTATTTCTTCAGTTATAATTTATCATGCCCTCAGTCACTGAATTTTGATTCCCCCCCCATTAAGTTTATTGGCACATTTAAAGCAAAACAAATTTTTTTTTTTGGTACCAGGAATTGAACTCGGGTCTTTGCACTTGCAGGCAGCGGAACCAAGGAGCCAAATCCCTGGCCCTGAATTTTTATTCTTTATTTCCTCTATCATGTGATGCTTTC